ATTTTTGTGTTTCTTTTTTTTTTTTTTTTTTCCAGTGTCATCATAGTAGAAAATTAGAAGAGCTTGGAGTAGAGGCTTTAGGGACCAGTAGTTAGCGTAATGGCTATGTCTGGACTCCCATGTAGTTGACCGCGGTTCAAGTCCTGGACCCGGTGGCTTAAAACTCACACCAGGCGTGCGTGTGTGTATGCCCAAGATCCCGAGAGGAAAATGGAGGAGATTGCGGCCTGGCCATCCCCCCTGGGAGGTGATTCCTCTCTTTCTGTCTGTCTCTTTCTGTCTGGCGAGCGCACGTGCCCTATGGCAAAAACCTCTCCAAAAAAAAAAAATTAAAAAATAAAAATAAAGATTAGAGGCTTTAACATAGCTATTACTAGAAATCTGTTTGATCCTCCTTCATATAAAATTAACGACAACAAAACAATCTGCCAAAAACCAGGAACTTTTTCCTTTGCAATTTCTACACATAAAAATGCTTCTGGAGAAATCATGAAAAAAATTTTTTTTCTCAAGTGAACCAAGTCACATTGCATGAACTACTCAAAATGGTATCCCACTAATCAAAACCTCATACCACAACAACTTAGTATCCTTACTTTAAAATCCGCTTAGAAAATATTTAAGTTCTTCCATGGGATGTGATTCATTTCCTAAGTCTGCAATTCCCCTGCAGTGAACTCACAGGGTTATTTTAAAATTCTAGGAAAACATCAGTGATATCATAAACTACTTGCTCAGGGTAGTTCAATATCAACATCAGATAATGCTATGCTCCTTTCAATGCTATTGCATCTTTGCAAAATTATTTTTGGCAGTTGCTGTAATAAAAAGCAGAAAATAAATGGCTATGTGTGGGACCAGCAGTTAGCGTAATGGCTATGTCACTGGACTCTCATGTAGTCAACTGTGGTTCAAGTCCCAGACCCTGTGGCTTGAACTCACACCAGGCGTGTGTGTGTGCATGCCCAAGATCCCAGAGGAGAGTGGAGGAGAAGGGATTGCAGTGTGGCCATCTCCCCGGGGGGGTGGTGGTGGTGGTGATTTTTCACTTTCTGTCTCTCTGATAAGCGCACGTGCTGTATAGCAAAAATCTGTCCAAAAAAAAAAGGTCAAAAAAAGGCTATGTGTTATAATCTCAATGTTCGAGTAACTGTATAACACCCAACAGCTGTACATCTATCATTAGAAGTAACTGTGGTTATTTATGAACAAAATTAAATACATTTTTTCAAAGCCAAACCCAAAAAGAAATAACTAACAGTTTTAAGTTGCTAGAGTAAAACAATAAGCATCTGTGTCCTAATACCTTAGTGGCTGTTTGAAAAAAATATTTGTTTTTATACATCATACATAAATCTAAGAGAAAAAAACCACTGACATAAAGGCACTGTGAACCAAGAAAGTTCGGAAACTTCTGCCCTAGATAGAGTCCACTAACCCACTGCCCTACTCACACACCCCCAAAAGTACTGCCCATACATGTATCTTCATCAGAAATTTATTAAATGCTTATGTGTATATAACTCACCTATCTAAACCAGAGATCAAGGCATGAAATGCTTGACTGAAGGATTAAAGAGCACTGAACTTTCATTTTTCATTCCAGTATCAACTAGCTAACACAAATAAAATCTTAACAAGTAAAATTTTGAATAACTTCTGCATAATACCTGAATGCGAGCTCTCAATGGTGGTATCTGATTTGGATTCCGGAGCTGAAGGAACTTGTTTTAATTGTGGAACATAGTACATACTCGTACTACCAGGAGGTTTATATGGCACCAATAATGGCTGCGCTAAGGAGGTAAAGAAGAGAACAATTAATAAGGAAACATTCATCAATTCATTGAGCAAATACTGAGTGTCATCCATGGGCAGCACTTAAGATTCTTTGTATACATGGGGCTGGCAGGTGGTGTGGTGGTTAAAGGCGCAAGATTCCCACATGGCTGACTGCAGTTTGAGTCCTGGACCTGGTGGCTTGCTTCCTCACTTTCCCTTTCTCTCTCTATCTCTCTCTGATCAAATTAAAAAATAAGGATAGCTAATAAAATTAAATAAATACTTTTTAAAAAGATTCTTCATATACATGAGTGAACTAAATAAACAAATATACCTCTGTCTTCAAGAGGAACTATAATTATAGAGGGAGATATATATTAAACAATGAACAGACTGAGTAAACTATCTAGTATTTTAATAAATTATAAGTTATGTAGGAAAAAATTAGAGAATACTGAGGGAGATTACAGAGGAAATTACGGTGGAAAGTAGTTTAAATAGGATGATCAGGGTATGTCTTACTGAGATTGGTTTTTAGAAATCTATTCCATATATATTAGGTCATCAGGAAAGTTCATGACGTATTTTTCTATGTTCTTTTATGCAAAAAAGCGTCTTGACTTTCCCACTGATCCAATAGATAGCCCTAACTGAAAAACACTTTATTTTATATTGAATTTAAACCTTGTCACTATTAACCTCTACCACTAGTCATAGTCTGCTCTCAGAGTCACAGAAATTAAGTTTAATTATCTTTTTTAAAATAATTATTTTAATTAACTTTATTTATTTATTTATTTGACCAGAGAGAGACAAAGTAAGAGAGAGAGAGAAAGGGAAAGTGAGAAAACAAGCGACCAGGTCTGGGACTTGAACCATGGCTGGCCATGTGGAAGTCCAATGCCCTTAACCACTACACCACCTGCTGGCCTCAGTCTAATTATCTTCTGTGTCAGAGATTCAAAAGAAGTTTACATTATAAAGTAGAAATTTTATATTATGAAAAAATATAAAAGTAAAAAAGACAAAGCCCTACCACTCAAAGATAAATATTAACACTTTAAGTATATCCTACCCATCTTTTCCCCTCTATTCCCCATTTATATAGTTGTCTGTATATAGCATCATTTGAAATTCAGCTTTTGTACTTTATAATCAAACATTCTTTTTATTTCCTGTTCTTTAAATTTTATGACTATACAGATACACATTAAATGTATTCAACTATTTTATACTATACAGATCAAATGTATTTAACCCTTCTTCTAGGGTTGAAAATTTTAACTGAGTTAATTTTTTCAATTATAAAGAATTCTTTAATAAAGATTTTCCTGTTTATAGCATACTTACTCTCCCCTATTGATCTCAGGTAAATTCAGATTACAGAGCGAAAAAGTATACCATTTATGAAATTAAATATCTATTTATCTAATCTATACATATATATACACACACACAAATTGTTAAATTGCTCTCTAAAATGCTTGGGCCACTTCCTTGGGACAGCAGCAATGCACTGCTCAAGAAAAGATGAGGGGATGGGGGTAGCAGGTGGTTTAGGAGATGGACTCCCACTTGGCCAACTGTAGTTAGAGTACCAGACCTGGTGGCTTGTTTTCTTGCTCTCTCTCTGGTCAAATTAAGGAATAATAATCAATTAAATTTAAAAAGTAATTCTTAAAAAACAGAGAGAGAGAGAGACAGATGATGATGAATCCCACATGGAAAATGTAATTTGGATTCTCCCATCCTGTCAGTAAAACAATGGGCAAGAGTGTCAATGCCCAATTCAAAGGCCTGGGGACTGTAGTATGATCAGACTCAGTGAAGGGTATACCCCTCTTTCTCTCTCATGTATATGTACACATGCTCCAGCATGAATAAAGGGGTTAAAAAAAAAAAAAAAAGGGAACCAGCAGTTAGCGTAATGGCTATGTCGCTGGACTCCCACGTAGTCGACCGTGGTTCGTGTCCCGGACCCGGTGGCTTAAAACTCACGCCGGGCGTGTGTGCGTGCGTGCCCAAGATCCCGAGAGGAGAATGGAGGAGAAGGGATTGCGGCGTGACCATCCCCCCTGGGGGGTGATTTCTCGCTTTCTGTCTCTATGTCTCTCTCTGTCTGTCTGGCGAGCGCACGCGCCCTACAGTGAAAATCTCTCCAAAAAAAAAAAGTAAGGGCCTGGCCTCATGGCCTAGTAGTCAAGGGAGCTGGATTTCACCAGGTCAATCACATGGTTAGAGTTCCAGACCAGGTGATTTGAGAGGCTAGATGGGTATGTATGCCCCAAATTCCAACAGAATAAAGAACTAGAGAAGAGGCTAAGGCATGCCCACACCCTATTAGAAGGGTCCTTTCTCCCTTCCCCTCTTTCTCTTTCCTGTTCTGATGAGTGCACGGATGCTCTGGCAAAAACAAAAAACAAAAAATCCACACCAATTTACTCTTCCTCTAACATATGTAATAATTTCTTACCAAATAGGGGTAAATGGCATTTCATTGTTAAATCTACCCTTTATCTCATTGTTGCAGAAGCTATACTTTTTTCTATATATTTTTCTTCCATGATATGGTTAAAAACTGCCAAACGCCCCTTTGTGTCCTCCCCTTCCCTCCTTTCATTTATGCATTACATTGTTCAATCTCCTTTATAGCCATGTATGGACATATAACTAAGTCTGGGCAGGACAAGTGCAAGGACGAGTGCAAGAATACGTGCATTCAGCACCCCCACTTCCTAGGTACTACAGATCACTGACTGCTGCAGCAGCTACTCTGGACCTGGTGATGGAAATCACACTAAGAATGCTACAGTCACCAGACTGATGCAGCACAATTAGCTGTTCTAGACCACCTACTTTGTAGTTTGGAGTCCTGTGATAGCCTACCCTGTACCCTAACACATACTCAGTAAGCAATCAGTCAATTAATTTCATCCACTAGAGTCATCACTTACTACCTAAATAATCTTAAACAAATTAATCTCTTTTCTTTGCCTTAGATTCCTCACAAAATGGGCTTGATAATAATACCTACATCTTAATATTATCATGAAAATTTAAATGAATTAAAAAATAAGTACATCAATTTGATATGTTTAGAAGTGTTGAATTCTTCCAGTCCCCTTTCCTCCCAATAAGTAACAAATTTATTTTAATATCATATTATAATTTTATAAACTTATTTGGGAAGAACTGACATGGTTACAGTATTCAGTCTTCCACCCAGAAATATTCCATCTCTTAACTTAGTCAACTGTTTTTTTTTTTTTTTTCCATCTAGAATTAGTACTTCCTATGCCCCATTCTTATAAAATCTTTATTTGGGTTATTTCTGAATGTTTTATGGGACTGTACTGCTCATATGAATATAAGATGGCTATCATTTCTTCTGGCTAAACACCTTCAGCTCCTTCAGTTTATCTTTATAGACTATGATTTTCTCTCACATTCTATCACTACTTCCACGTGAACTGCTCATTAGCCATGTTCTAGTTCATAAAAATCTAAATGTTCTAAACAGATTGTGATAGTCCTGGAATACAAGAGGTCTCCTTCATTCAGGACACAATAACACCCTCTATGTTATTTAAAGTGTGTTACCCTTTTTGACAGTTCCATCATTCTGATGACCTATTTTGGCACCAAATTCCATGTTGTTAGCATACTACTTCCAATGAAGGAACTCACTTCACAGTAAAGGAAATGAGACCAAACGCTGATTCTTTTGGGGTTTCACTGTTCTTATTACACAGTCAATCAAAACTATGTTAAATCTTTTTTTTTTTTTGAGAGGTTTTTGCTATAGGGTGCGTGCGCTCGCCAGACAGACAGAGACATAGAGACAGAAAGCGAGAAATTAACCCCCAGGGGGGGATGGTCACGCTGCAATCTCTTCTCCTCCATTCTCCTCTTGGGATCTTGGGCACACATGCACACGTGCCCGGCGTGAGTTTTAAGCCACCGGGTCCGGGATGCAAATCGCAGTCGACTACGTGGGAGTCCAGCGACATAGCCATTACGCTAACTGCTGGTTCCCAAAACTATG